AGTCCTCGAGCTACGCCATACGCACCGTCGGCCAACGGCTGTCGTGTTCCTTGACCTAAAAAGAGCCTTCGACTCAGTTGATGGTGAATCCCTTATGCGTTCACTCCTTCGCAAAGGAATACCGTAGAAGTATGTGAACATACTGAGTTCACTCTACTCACATACGTCTGGTAGCGTAAGAGACTACGGCGAGTTGACTAGGTCGCTCGTGACTAGAAGCGGTGTTCGTTAAGGATGCCCTCTTTTCCCATTCCTGTTCCATTTCGTCATAGACGAAATACTAGAGAACACGTTAAGTGGCCTCCAAAATGTAGGTATTGAATGGACAGCTGAAGAAAAGCTGTGCGATTTGGAGTACGCCGACGACGTTTGCTCGTTCGAATGTATGGAGAATGCACAAAGAGCACTTGACAGATTAGCAAGTTCTATCGCTCCGTTCGGCATGTCCTTTGCGCCTTCAAAGTGCAAAGTGATGCTACAAGACTGGGTGTCACCGAGTTCTGTTCTGAAACTAGACGGTCAGGAATCAGCTGAAGTTGACGACTTCTCGTACTTAGGTAGCTGCTTGACCAACGACGGTAGCGCATCAAAGGAGAAAACCACCAGTATTTCCAAGGCTCGTGCAGCGTACGCAGGACTAAAACACCGTGACGTGTCACTAAAGTTGAAAAGTCGCGTATACTGCGCCACCGTACGATCAGTTCTATTTTACGGTCAGAAGACACCCGTCGTGTAGCAGTGTTCGATAATCGATGCTTAAGTAGTCTGGCCCAAGTAGGATGGAGTGAGCAGGTTAGTGACTCAGAAGTAAGTGTCGAGTGTAGGGAATACATTAAACAAGAACTAGCTATCGCATCGAATCCAGCTCAGTAGGCTCCGTTGGTTAGGACACGTTCTGCGTATGTCCGACGGTCGCCTACCGCAGCGCGCCTTGTTTGCAGTGGCTGTTACAGGTTGGAGAAAGCCAAGTGGAGACCAGTAGATGACCTGGAAACGAGGCATAAATAAATGCACAGAGCGATTAGGTAGAGTAGGTGTCTCTCGTCTTCCGGGTTGGGGTCCAAAAGACTTCGAAACCGCATGGTTGGAGACATTGAAGATCATGGCTGCGAAGTGACAGCAATGGCGAGCTTGCTGTCACTTTTTGTCAGACCAGAATACTTGAAATTGTATGTATGCACAGTTGGGTTGTGTACTCTGTGTTGACCGTAGAGGTTCGCTTTCTTTTCCCGTCCCTAAAAATAGACCCAATCGCTGTCCTCCATACACATTCTCACTTATTTTGTACGCATTACAAGTTTGGTAGCGATCAGTGAAGTTCGCCTCACTGTATTACGCTGTACAATGATGACATGCAAGTCACCAGGTTGAGCTAGAGGCGCACGCACACGGTGACGTACGTATCTCGTTTCATTGGAGTGGCTAGTCTCTGCGCCGTAGCGATCCTCAACGTATGGTGCTCGGAAGGATCGTGCTGCAACGCGGAGAATTTGGTGAGCTGTTCGGTAGTCCATGAAAAGCGGTTTTTGTAGATTTGAAAATTTGAACTAATCGTAGACGTGAAAAGACGTTTTCTGTTGGCACACAAGCGTTCATGTTCAAATATTCTCAAAACATTGATTTCTGATGGCCTTGTGCGCGCATTTGAATCGCTCGTTGCAGAGGGGGTGTCGTTTTGGGGATTCCGTTGACTGCGTTTACTAGTTGATGGTAGACACTCGTCTTTGAGACCACCTCCTGCTAACAGAGTTGGAGCATAGTCGAAGATGACTGAGGGGATGGCGAACGGAACGTCAAAAAGTGCGGCGGAGATTCTGGGAGATACGATTGTCTACCCCTCATTGACACATTCGGTGCAATAGCCTGAGGTTGTGGTTAATCCTGTAGGTCATATTGGTATGGCAGTATTTTGATCCGCTTCTATACCAAGCCGATCAATAACATTTTTGTCAGGCAAGCAGTACCGACATCGTAATTGTAGTGTGCGCATAGTGACGCACTGACTCCTTATAACAAGGAGGGATCTGCGATTTCACCAAGTGAGGTCAGTTCATTCCCGACAGTTTGCATTCCCAGCTCGTTGACACAATATCTTTGCTGCTGAGAAAGAAGAGGGTGGGGAGCTTCCATAGGATGTCACAGCATGAGCGAGAAAAAGACTAGCTAGTGAATGCACGAATAAACTTGATAATCTGATATCAATTGACTTTGTTTCTTCGAGAGTGTACACTTGATCTTTGAAAAGCCAAATATCACCTGTTCAATACAGTTTAGTTCGAACAACCAATAACCATGCATTTTCGTGTGCTGGTTTTGGTTGTTCTCTTCTGGCTGCCCATTTGGATGAACAGTAAGAGAAAGACAGGAAAATTGAAAGTGAAAACGAAGAGAAAATTGGAAATTTCATTGGATTCATTATTCGCGAACAGTCAGTAAGCTCACAAGGGGGAAAAAACTCTCAGCATTTACGCCAGATCGCAACAGCTGGCTTTCGAAAACCACAGTTCAAAAAGCAGCGATTTAGACATACAAAGTGAACTTTATGTATGAGCTCATGGGAGCCCTCGAAATCCGTCAACTCTTTAAAACAATTTCCAATTATACGAGGCTTCACTATTTGCACTATGCACCTATTGAACTAAGTCAATAAAAAAGTTAACCACAGTCACAGCTTGATCTTCAACAAAGACTGTACACGGAAATAACCTAGCGTTCAATGGCAGACCGCTCTGTTTCAGTTGCAGTTTTTATCTCCATTAACCATGCGCTTGCGTTTGCCGGTTTGGTTGCTGTCTTTTGATCGGTACCTGAAGCTTGACATGAACGAAAGAGATAAGTGTTTTCAGGTTCGGTGATGGTTCAGATCAAAGGCTGTCAGGAAACAACCGTCGAATGGGGACAGAAAGGTTAATAACACGTGCTTCATCGACTAATTGCAGCCTGGCAAAACCATCACTTTCATCTGAAGAAAACCGTATTCCCAAGCCTACGCACGTCTACGTCTACGCATATTAGTCAATGGTAACCGCACAGTGGCCAATAAACAATGGAGAAGGTTAAAAGTTACATAAGTAGGAGGAGTACAAAACATGACTTATAATCGGAATCTATCGGAATCCAATTCAATCTGGTTGAAACCGAAAACCAACAAACAGAAACACACACATATTTTCGAATAGCGATATTGTTCGGACCTCGAAATGGACTGTGCGTGAAAGTGCAGGCAGGTGAACGGATATTAAGTGGGCTCAATGATCCAGTGATTAGTTGACTGTTGCTTTTATCTAAAACACATCCAATGCATTATAGATGCTTAGTCATGTCAGCTGAAGGCACATTGCTACACGGACAAAGGCGAAGACTGTTGAATCAGTTGAGGTACTACGATATGGGGAAACATTTTTTTTCTGTATTCATAAGAAATACTTTTCGTCCTTAAGACCGAAGCATCCAGGTGACCAAACCCATTTTGCTTCATTACGAAACAGCCTTTGATGATGAGGTAAACTGCGTTGTCACGCGTACCTATTGTTCACTCATGAAAACAGATAACTGAACGATTGAAATTTAGATATTGAATCCCAAAAGGGTATAGATGATACTAGGCTGAAGAACAGACAAGCTGTTTATACGACCAAGTGCGAGTTTCCACTACAGAAGTATTTCAGGACAAACATATGATATCAACTGATTCCAATTAGGCACACGTGAACAGAAACACAAGTTCCGCACCTGTAAAGAGGAAAGCTTTTTGGCAAACTCCTCTCGGGTTCGACGAAGTTTCTCTTCACCAGCATGTTCTAGATGACCAAGATTGGCCAGGACACTGTCGCGTTCACGTTCTGTTTCCTTGATGCGCGTTTGTAAATGATTAAGTTGACGTTCGTAGTGTTTTCGTAAGTGATCCAGTTGAGCTGCTTTAGATTGAAGTTCGGCCAACAGGCGCTGTTTGGAGTCGATGGCCGAAGAGACACTGGCCAAACTCCGGTGCAACTTGGCCTCAGTTTCGCGAACATTTCGAGCTTGTTCTGTCTCATCAACATCTTCGACTTCGTTCAAACCATCGTCTTCATCATCATCATCTTCCTCGTTGCCTGGAAAAAGGAAACGTAGAAAAATGTTGAACGCTTTCCACGATTTGATTAGCACTCGATCGACGGAATCTGTGAATGCTACCAACATTTCCAACAAGGAGCTATTGTACATTCTTTTGTGATAAACAGCAGTCTAGACAAACCCAACAGTCACGGGAACCTGTTACTCACTCGTGGAAACCGGCAACCAAAGCTGCACGCTGTGGCTAATATAAAAGTGCTGTATGGTCAGCATAAATAGAATTGGTTTCAAGGCGCTTTGAGAACGAATACGGGTGGGTGAAACTAGACGGATTTTTGATACTTCGTCCATCGGCCAGAACAGTTTGATGGGGTTAGGTTGTAGTGATCTATCTGGTTTGCATTGTATGGAACCGTATCAATGTGAATTGTTTTTCAAAGAAGTCCAAAGTGTCCTATTTTCGTTAAACAAGTTTAACAATTTATTGTAAAAACGGAAATACCGAAATACAATATCATAACAGCTGGTTGATAACCCATCAATACACTAGGTAAGCATCACAAGTTTAGTCTTCTATATTGCTTGAAAAAAACAATCCTCAAAGAGTTCCTACTATGTTTCAACGAGCTGCATAATAAATTGACTTGGGGGCAAGCATGTTGTCAACGCAACAACCTGTGAAAATGAAAAGGAGATTTGGGTACAAGTAAGCAAAATCTCGGAAAACAATTTACAAAGAATAAAAACAACTACGCCTCTTTTCTTCCCAGATAGCTGGACACCAGAAAGGAAATTGAGTGTAGACATAGGAACGGCGCCAAAAACACCCTCAAGAGAGTACGTTGCTGTATAAATCCCTCGTGTGAGACTTACTTCCAGATTCCGATTCGGACGACTCAACATCTGACGCATCGGATAAAGTGTGGTCATTGGAACCCGATTGTTTGGATGGATGACCAGTGTGGGTAAGTGTATCGTCAGCCGGATTCTCACCTAACAGGGTATCGTTTACATCATCGGTTTCGTTATTCTACATCGGGAAAATTACAGAAAAGAGAGGAGGAGATAGCCTACCGGTAACATTTTTGCTGGAAAGTATTGTGTACATCCATTGCGTGCATGAAAATGAGGTGAGCTTGGCAGGGGAAACACGATAAATCAAATAAGTACACACGATTGGAGGGATAATCATAGTTGAATATTGTAAGGGGGAAGTGTTGCGATGAAGCTCACAGAAACCATCAATCCGCGTTATACCACAAACGCTCTCGTGACGCCCATGCCGGATGAGATGACTAAGATCAATTAGACAGCTGTCATTCGATCGACCAATCGGAGTGTCAAAGACGCCATCCAGTTGGCGCGTCACCACGTCGTTCCCGAACACCTGATTTACCCACTTTGATTTGTGTCGCAACAAGGAGCACATCCTTATGTGATAAACAGCAGTCCAGGCAAAGCCAACAGTCCCGAAGACCTGTTGCTCACTCGCGGAAACCGGCAACCAAAGCTGCACGCTGTGGCTAAGCAACACGAGGTGTGTGGGGACGGATACATAAAGCTACACTGAATGTTCATAAAACCTAACTCAAACAAGATTTTAAGGTCTTACACCGCGGTCTAACTATTATCAACCGTGTCTCTTCTATTCCTGTGAATGAGTTAGCTTTGAAGCTTTCAGAGCATCACGTATCTTCCTGTGTGAAATTCGCTGGGATGATTCTCACAGATCATGATCATGATCACGCAGTACTGACACGTTGTCGTTCCCTTCATTCAATACGTTCCCAGTTCCGCCAAATTTCATCTCCAATTAACACTTACCGCAATTCACCTATACCGTATCTTGATCGTTTATTCACAAGCAAAGAGCAGACAATAAGCGAACTTTGTCTTGACCTTGATTTATGAAATATCCCAATGTCTGTAAAAATTTCTCCCAGTTGAATATATACCCTGTGATGGTTGGCGTGTATGATTTTTTAACTGAAATATGAGCTCCAGTGCTTGCAAAAGTTATAAACAATACGCATTATGATCACAGAATACACTCTGACTGCTGTTCTCCAGTGTTCTTTCTCCCTTATTATTGTAAGGGGGCTCGTGTCGATCGTACGTCTAGGTAGAACATAACAGGAAGGTAGGAAGGTGTTTCACACTATCATTGCATCAAACATGAAGGATGATGGATAAGTATTCATCTCGCATTCGGTGGCAGATAAAGAATGAATGGTAGTTCGACCGTCACAAAGGTGAAAAACAAGATATAAAGGGACGGATAAGAGGATACATGCAGCAACCTCGGATGTTCACAAAAGCAGTGGTGAAGTGATCCCATGGGATTCTTGTGAAACTTCCACTAAACTGAGTCGTTTAATTCAATATCGACCGATTGAATGC